GGGGGGGGAGAGGTTGAAAAATTATTTTTCCGGACATTCAAAAAAAAGGGTCGAAAACATTTTTCCGGACATAAACCAGTTAAATTAAGGGTCAAAAAAATTTTTCCGTACAAATTTCTGTTAAAACATGCGTGAAACCCTTATTTCTGGACCAATATCTGTAAAATGTAGGTCTAATTTAGGTCTGGAAGCTCTGTAAGTTACTTAATAACTCTACATTCTATCATTTAAAATCTTTGATTGCCCTTCCAATCCAGATGATTCGTACTTTGGGGGGGGGGGGGGGTTACACACCCCCATACTCCCCTCAAGTTTCGCCCCTGAACACTTAGAAAACAATATCTGGGACAGAAAAAATTGCTATGCTCTGTCTCATTCCTTTCGGTTCACAAATCTAACAGCTCACAATGTTCTCCAGCCCCTTATTGTTCCCAGCTGTTTTTAGTTAAATGCAAAGAGCCTGTTGACTTATCGCTCCATTTTTCGTAGGAACCAAAAGTCACTCACCGTGATATGCAACGATAGTCCTGGTTCTTGAAAGGACGGCTCGGCTCCTGGCAAAAAGCCTCCAAGACTTCCAGCTGCGACAAGCATGTCTTCCATCATTTCATGAGCAAGATTGGCATCGTCATCGGACAACTTGACGTGGAATGTTGGTTGCGGCATTCCGAACGTATCCTTGTTTCCAGACTCAGAAGCAAACGAAACGTGATTATTAAAATCCGGTGTCATCTTTCCAAACCATCGTAAGTCGACAATGAGACGCGTGTCAACATTTGGAACCACACCCCCATAAGAGAAAGCATCGCGATGCACCTGGCAATGCCATGGACGATTCTGAGACACGGGAATCCAACACTACAAAAGGAGAATAGTTCAATAATTATATTCATGAAAACACTGCGTTGTCAACATAACTCGCATATTCTGTCAACTAGGCACATATCTGCCACTTTTGGGGTTTTGTCTTCCCACATTAGAAAAAGGAGAAAATCTAAACAATGTGAAAAGTGACTCTAGCTACAAAGTTACCATTATACGCACAACGACAATACTAAAAAGATGCATTTCGCGGGAGAGGCAGTACCACAAAAATGGAATTAAGCCCAGTGTAGGAAATGCAAATTAAACTCCTGTTATAACCTCTTCAAGCTGTTAGTATTAAATTCATACAATTGATAATAAGCGCTTCCAAATTTGCTTGAGTTGACACGAAACAATAGCTTGGAAATGAGGCGCACAATGTTGTTCATGTTATGGCTATAAGTCAAAAAGCAGCAAATGGAGGTTTCATGTTATATACAATAAAATGGTCAAAATATAGTATTAATGAGCAATCAAGAAGCATAAAAACACGTCTAACACTTTGGTTCATTGTAACACGATGAAACACACGACTCATGTTATGACTATTTCTTGCACAAACAGTACTGAAGTGTACTGATGCATATTCATACCTGTGGCTGTGGGTCTGTATAAGGAATTGGTATGGGATCATTGGGGTGTTTCTTGCGGAATTTGTCCACTATTGGCTTCCAAACCGGATTCTTTTCAATGCTGTCCACGAGGTTTTGCAGCAGGACTACCTGACAGAAGGCCAGTGGTTGTTCACAAAGATAGTGACCCAAAGCAGGAAGGCTGATGTCGGAGTTGAACAGGATTTGTGGAGTAAGGACAGCGCCCGCTGCTATGACAAATGTGTTAGCCTTAATACGGTAGTCTTTTTTCTCAAGAAGGTTTCTCACCACAGCATGCTCAACTTTTTGAGTGCCTTGTCCCGTGCCAGTGTAATGGAGTTCCCGGCACTGCCACATTTCCTAATGAATTTGGAAATTTGTTTGAAATTTTATTATTGGAATGGACTTACTTGAAAACGGGTATTTTTCAGTCAACAGTAAGTTAATTGGTTGTATAAAAATGTAGCTGTGGAAGGGAAGATGGCTGTGAAACTCGTTAGAAAAACAATGTAACTCATTATCTATGTTGGTTAACGTTTATTCATAAATCTGGTCCTTCACCGTCACGTGTGTATTGTCTTTTTGCCAAACTAACCAATAGCAATGTTTTAGGAAAGTTATCTATCCGTGACTCGAAAATTGGAAATTGCTGTTGGTGGATTTGGCATAATACAATACACACGTGACGGTGAAGAACCACTGTTTATGAATATTAAAGGTTGACCAACATAGATATTGAGTTATATTGCTACTCTAATGAGTTTCACAGCCATCTTCCCTTAAGCTGCGGTGTGAAGGATGTACAACTACTGAGCTGAAATATATTGGCAAAACTTTGACCTCTCACACGAATGCACTTCGTCGCAAAATTAATAGCCAATGGTTGGCTGGCTATGTGACTCAAATTTTGATGGATAGTTAACTAACCACTTATTTAACTGCGCGTGGGAATCACGTGGGGTGCTTAAACATAAATTTAACTAAAGTAAAAAGTGATTAACGGAGGGTGGCG